TAAATTAATGAATACAACCTGAGTGATTTATGCAATTGCAATAATATTTATTATATTGTTAAAAATCATGTAAATAATTATTATACATAAATAACTTAATATATAATTTATAAATTAAGTTAACTCATTACACAAATCTAGGTAAACTAAATATAACTTTAATCTCAAGGTGAATAACATACCTAATACGAGTATTGAATATTACATGCGTTGTATTGATGTGAAATAAAATATTTATATTTTATTTCATAGTATATATATATATATATATATATATATATATTTTATTTCACATCAATACAACGCATGTAATATTCAGTACTCGTATTACGTATGTTATTCACCTTGAGATTAAAGTTATATTTAGTTTACCTAGATTTGTGTAATGAGTTAACTTAATTTATAAATTATATATTAAGTTATTAATATATAATAATTATTTACATGAATTTTACATATGTGTAATTTATTTGACTGTTAGGCTTAGAACTTAGATTATTTCAATAGACAACAAAACATGAAGGAGGGAACGTATAAAGTAGAATGTAATAATAATTATTATTATTACTATTACATTATTGTAATTATTATTACGAATTATTCGTTTGTTTGTCTATATAATTATTAACTAGTAATTCATATTAATAACAAGACAGCAAATTTGCATTAAGTCAAATATATAAAGTTAAATATGAATTCTTATTGACCAAAATTACTTACCGTTATCACTTACCATAACGGTAAACGATAATTAAAATAAATTAGGCGATATTTGGTCTTTTAGCTAAATAGCAGATCGTTTTCAATCGCTAATGATGAGTTTTTAAACACTAAAAAAAGTATAAATATCGTAGCAAAAGTAACATACTAAAATAATGAGTTTTTTATGTGTAACCGAAAATTCAGAGTTTTAAGAACCCGGGTTTTTTCATAATTTCTTATAGCAATATCTATTTTTCAAACAAATAAAAGTCTTTTGCTTTAAAGGAAAGAGTACATATCGTCATGCGGTCGACCGACGCCGAGTGTATAAAACATCAGTGACAGCAGACGACTTGAAATGTCATCGATTATTGCAGATTTATAGTCGTACAAATGAGAAAGTGTATTGAAAATGCCTACACAATATTGACCGGCGAGTACTTTTTTTAAAACTATTCAGTACGTTATGATCTTAATTTATCCTCGCTTAAGATTCGTCGTACACGCTTCTTCATCAATTACTCATTTCTATTTCATACTTTCCTTTATAAAAGTCAATAGTCAGGAAATGTACTGTTTAAAAAAATGAATAAATCGACTTTTTACACAGAGAGTGGAAACACCGAGAAAGTTATATTATGTATTAGCGATTGTTTTTATTTTTCCTAATTTTCAAACTGATGCAGGAAGCTGCTATTTATTCTATAAATATATTGTGTGTAGATCACAGCCGTCAATAATCATTTGAAAAATGTGTCCTATTATTAATTATTATTATTATATTATTTCAAACGATGCGATCCGTTAAGTATAACAGTGTAGAAGTCGCTTAATAAATGAAAGTCGCGATGCACACATATTGCAATAATAGCTAATTGGATAATTGTTAAACAATGGGTTGATGATAAGAGTAAATGTATACAAATAACAATAGACTTAACAGTCGCGCTGTCTCTTCAATAAACTACGGTATACACCCAAGGGTTAGGAATTTAACTCCCTTAAAGTAGGAATTTTCTATTTGTTTCGTTTTTAGAGAAAATCTGAACTTTAATGATGTAAAGGTACAAAATTTGTATGGATTCCTATAAATACCTATTTTTACCGGTTCGGTCATTCTTATTCCTAATACGTTAATAAAACGCAATTGTGTAGAATTTAATTATAATTTTTAATAACGGTAAATATCATTAAGTAAATCATTGACAGAATATTAAACAAATTATTGAACTGAGGTATGTATGCAATTAGAAAAATAATCCTAAAAATAATTAATCTTAAATTGGGTTATTGCCACGTAACACGTTAGTATTGTTAATTATTGTGTCGAATAAAATGGTAATTGCGTAGGACACAAATGTTATAAAATTATAACATTAAACGGCTTATTGTTGGCGTTGTGTCGGTCACATAATAATATTATTATGGCTGCTAATTTATTCGTAATTCCCGTAAAGTGTATTCATAAAACTTATGCAACAACACCTAACTCGTCTTCTCCATTATCACGTGGTTACGTTTTACATACTATATCGAATACGGTGGAAACTCGTTTTAAAATTTCGAATTTTGTATATTATTTAATTATTACATACCACGTCTAACTTAAACCACGTCGCCGAATACACTTGCGACAAATTACGTGACACGCTCTGTATCCAATATATTTATAATACTCGCGAGTAATCAGAGGTTTTCCACGGGCGGCTAGGTATGCACCTACAGCTGAAATTGTTATTAAAAAACATACAAGCTATATTACACACAGAAACGGTTCACTATACGGTGTATAACGACGATTCGAAATGTAATGACTTTAAATTTGTTATAATACTATTGCACCTGTTGGTTGAGCTCGACCACGTTGCCGTAATTCAATAAAGAAACAGTGTCAGTTAACTTTGATGGAAATCTGAGTAAGCAGAAGACTTATAATACTATTGTTGGTGTTTTTGATGGGTCGTGATAAATTTTAGTTATAAGTTTTAAGAAGCAGAGGAAAAAAATGGAGTGAATAAAGAAATGGCGACGGATGTAGGATTTGCGCTTTGATTGCCCGTCCCCATTTGTATGAGACAGTAAGAAGTAGTACTCTGTTTATTTTAATCCAGATGTACTGTGGCCGTCACTTCCAGGTTATGCTGGCTCTTTATTTGTACACAACTATTTTTTGGGGCAATTTATTTTAGAATAACCGTATGCTGCCTATATTATTACACATAAACATTGTTAAATTTATTATTTGTAGACTGCAGTAGTCGAATCGAATCGTCGTCGGCGCCTTATGAAAATTGAAGACCACTGCGAGACGGCAACGACAAATATAAGAAGGGAAATGCGATTATTTTTTATTTATCATTATAACGGAGAAAAAAATAGCCGGATTTCACTTAAATTACACCCGTCGATAACGCCGGCTGTGCCGACCGGTCATCGAAACAGACATGGACCGTATCGAAAGGGACAAACGATCGCTTCCCATTTTTTGGTATTTCTTTATATTATATGTATATTACACACCACGTAGACATTATTACATTAATATTTTCTCGGTTTTCATTTTTATCCGACATTGAATTATCTACCCGTCTGTAAGTATACACCAAATGTACCTTTTTAATGTATATTTATCAATACTTGAAGTATGACATTATAGCGTTATGCTTTCCTAACATCAAAAATACCTACGTGATGTGTTTAACAAATACACATACTGGTTGAGCTTGAATTTCCAAGTAACATAAACATTGTACATACATTATTATATCACGTTCATTAATGAACTTTTTATTACCCGGCGGTCCAAGTGGAAGGTATTAATAATTAACAAGGAACAGGCGTTTTTGGGGGCTCGTTTTACTTCATTAATGTTTTCCCGGCAAACATGTACGCATCGTTAATACATATATTGTGATAATATCATGCAGTAGGTAAGTAGACTTTGTAACATTACACCGTTAGCGAGTTTTTATCCACCATGTGTATATTACACATATATATATATAATCATGTACAGTAATGCAGTGCTGTCAAAACGCTATTGTGTTGCGCGAACAGTAAGTAAGAACTCAAAACGATGATAAATTAGGCGACAAAAATAACCGACGAACTCGGAAGGGATGAACGAACGCGCCCACAAGACTAAGCGCAGGTGTTTGGCCCACTGAAACGAAACAATGGAAAAGTGTTGTAAAAAAAGATTACTTTAAAAATTAGCTAATATTTATAAATAGTCGGATGTTAGTCATCCGACAGTGATGATTTGAAAATAAATATATTAGCAAACAACAAAGAACGAATATTTCCGCGATAATTTATAATACACTATAGCGTCTGTGTATCAGAAAATCCACGTGTAAAAAAAAAATAAAAAATAAAAACAAGGAATATAGTAGTAAGTACAAATAAATACCTAGCAAAGTGAAAATTCGCACAGTAACACTGTTTGAAAAGTGATGTCAATATTTGAACCAAACGTGGGAATTGAGGCAAAAAAAAAATTTTAACACATACTCTTGGGTAATATTTTTTACTAGTTTATTGTTTAGTTATGTCTAAAAAGTGAAGTTAAATATTCATAAAGAACTTTTAGTCCTAAGCAATGTAACGGTACTAAATATTTTGTTTAAATAATTATTATAATACATAGTAGTGAGTAAGATTTTAGAATTTCCTTTACATTCGCTGTTACAATTAGAGCTTTCAAATCGAAATGATAAACTTGGTCATTAAGGTCTATATGACAGCATATGCGCACATTTGGGCGTCTTGAGTCTTAAAGAGTGTTTAGACAATTTATTGCTCGAAGAAGATTACTCCTGACTTTACCGCGCGTTTATGAGAACTACAGACGTCTTATGTATTAAGAAAATAATCCTCTTCCTGTTCAGACAGCGAAACCCTTATTTTACGACCCATAAATTCGATACAAGACCGTTTGGTTCTCTTGATCAAATTTTCTTAAAAAATACTATCAGGTATTACGTATATAATACAACAGACTTCCTGTCTCATCGACTGGAACGCAGTCGAAAAACACCGATAGCTTCAAACGGTGATGATATAAGTGGAATCGACACCACACACATACGCGCGCGAATTCATTACATATTATATTATACATTCAATCTTCACCACCCGGAGAAAGCGCTGTCACAAATTGTATCCCCCCCCCCCATCGCTTGTTTTTGGTCTTCTCCTGGTTTTTATTACTATTTTATTTTTTTTTTTTACTTATGGTCATCTGCGGTTCGGCTACGGGATATTCCCCACGTGGTGCCGTCACAGCCAATGCCAAGTGAGTTTGCCGGGAGAACAGCAGCCGACCGACGTCCGGTTTCCGCCGACCGATCAGTCGTTTCTCACGCACACCTTAACGCGTTTACCGCAAAGAGTATCGATTCGCAGTCGTCCACGTTAGTCCATGTCCGTGCTCGAGTCGAATTGTTTTAAAAAAAAAAAATATTAATTTTAACTCGGACCGTAGGCAAAACAGTGCGACCGTCGTTTTACAGGCAAGAATAAAATAATTGTAAAAAAAAAAAAAAAACAGTGGGAAAACCAGAGAAAATTACAATTTATCAAGTAAGTCCATGAGCTCACATTATATTTTACAAACGCGCGCCTCTTCCAAACGGATTTGCAATGTTGGTCGATCGAATTTTATGACTTTTCTCGCCAGTTTAGCTTAAAAGTGAAATACAGTTTAACAATGTTAAAATTAAAGGCTTATAGCTATACTTTAACGTTAAGTCAAACTGGCGTAGAACGGCCATTGGATTGGGCTATGAAATTTCGAAATAACGCATACAGCATTGAATGATGAAAGCTTTTTGCATAAGCATTTATTAATAAAAAAATGATGGCCTCGATGGTTGCACTGAGCAACCTTCAAGAATAAGTTTAAATGTTCTTGTTTTAATTATTAGAAACCTGAAACTATTTCAGACATAATTTCGACATCACAATGATAGCCATACTGCATGGTTCGGTAAATCGAATTTTCATCAGCGTTAATTAAGATTTCATCTGTGATTCATTTAGAGATCAAAAATCTTAGTTGCTAATGACTACCCAATTATTACTCTTACAATTTTTCTGGAGGAGTGGGGTCAGTTATTAGAAATAAAAATATAATTGTACACTCGTAAAATCCAAAAAGTTAGACTGGTAGATAACACGTTAATAAGTTAAGTCATTATTTGGCATTTATATTTTTACTATTATTAACGTAATTGTATTAAATTGAAAATCATCAATGAACTATTTATTTTTGCTGAAAAGATATTTTGTTTTTCAAATGAAATCTAACACTTGTTAATATCCATTTCGTGTATTATTAATTATTGTCAATAAATCAAAGTCATCTAGTCGTTTAACTTATAACTCATTACTAAATTAATTATGTTTTGCACGACTGAGTAAACTTACAGAAATTAGTAAGCTAATAAATTAATTGTGGTTATTTTAACTTTATGAGATTAATATAAATTAATTGATTAGCTGTTTGCCCTAACTTATATAAGTAGGATGGAAGAGAGAAGGTGAACTTTACGGCTTAGTCCTAGCCTTAATGTAAACTTAAAAGAAACTATATAATTTTGTTTTATTTTTCTATCGATGTCTATTTACTTAATTCAATAATAAAGTTATTTGCCAATTACAAGTACAAACTCATACTTCATAAGTTCGTTGTCAATTAAAAGAGATGAACGACGTGAATACATTTTGCTATTATTTTAAATGTACAATGTACATTGAATACGAATGCAAATAGACTCTAAAAAAGATATAAGTGTCATACATTATATTTTTTTGTTTCCCGTCAAGAGTGGTTGACGTTATTCAAATGAAGACATAACGATATTTTTCCCATGAAAAACGGGCTTGGGAAATGTCATATTATATCATTAGGCCAAAAAAAAAATTTGTACGATTTGCTGAATACCTTCCTCTAGAGAGTTGTGCGACTACGTTACCTTCTTTAAATTCACTTTTGGAAAAAAATAAAAAAAATGTATAAAAACAACGGTTTGGCGTTTGCTCTAATATGTAGTAATGTTTTAACTTAATAATATAATTTAAAAAACAAATAAGCTATCTAAAGATAATGTCGTTTTTATAATTGGGTTGCGACGTCAATGATATAGATTATAGATGTTTCTTTTTCGGTTATACATTTTTTTTAATATAGTTATTTAATTATAGCAGTTAACTGTTTACATATTATGTGACACGTAAAACTATCAATTGGGTTTGCCATTGAAAATACACGACTCCGATAATAATATTATTACGTATATATAATATAATAATTATATTATTATGGTTATGATGGTGTCCCTCTGTACTCACTCCTGTACTCTCCGTCAACTGTACAGACAGTATAGGAGGCGTAGACCGGTTTGAAAACAACGCGTTTATCGAGAGTTAAGTATATATAAGTCAGTAAAAACAATAATAATGATGGCAGTTTAATCGAAATCCCCTTTCTATCAAACCCGTGCCAAAAAATAAACCGTTAAAAGCAATTTGGAGCGTTTTCGATGCGGAAACGTTCACTCGGTTGCAAAAGCGAAGCGTATAATATCATTTTTTGACTTTAACCTGAACGATAATGTTTATAATTTGGGAGTTGCAGCATTAGAGAATACTAATCTGATCTCACCGCAGCCACGATGAACGTAATACAACTATTACTATCGGTTTTAAGTGTTTTACCTAGTCTACTATTCACTCCACGGTCCGTTGTTTTTTTTAAGAAGCTCAAATTATAAAGAGCATAAAAAACTGCATTTGATGTAATTTGGCTTTGGTTTTACCAAAATCATATCGAAGTTCAATTCCGATAATATAATTATCTTATTGAAGTAAAACGATTATAATTAATAGTAATTTTCGCAGAAGCTGTCTGGAAATCGAATTTTGCATGACATTTTTAGTTTAATCACCAGCGTCCAATTTGCAAAATCCATTAAAATCAAAATGAGTTTTTACGCTAAAGGGCGAATAAAATCATTGACAGACGGCTCGTCGCCATGTTATGCGCTTAATGGAAATGTAATCGTGTTAAGTCCAAAGTCTGCCGCAGCCGGTTACCGTTTAAATAAGCGACGCGACAGATTCAGTCATCACCGATAGAGGGATATAAAATAAAATATAATAAATATTGTATGTCTTACTCGTATTTGAAAAAGTAAACATTCGCGATGAAAACGTAATGGGACTCGACAACTAGTAATCGAACTAAACCCATCGTAAAAATATGTTTATACAAAAAAAAAACTGTATTTTTATACAACTAGATATTATGCATTTTAGTTTTTCAGAAATTCACTCACTCCCAAACATACAAGCACTCCGACACATAAACCCAATATTGTTGTGATGTCCAAAACCAATATTTTATATTTCCTGGTTCGCCCCCCGCGATATCATTGTAGTTTTTCCAAACAAACAAATATTTGTATTTCTTACATAATATATATTATATATAAAACACACATGTACATATATGTGTGTGTATGTTTATAAATTAAAAACGTTCAGCAGACCAAATAATATAACAGGATAACTCCACGGTGAACTGTAACTCGGGTCACTGTAAATATCAATGTTTTCCCAGTAAACCTGACCGAACTTATAATGCTATAATAAATGGGCAATAGAAATCCGAATGCCAGATAAGTTTTGACAAATTAAAACCGCTATTGGTTTTTAAAAGTGACAACTTCAAACGAAAATCTGTTTAATTTTATATGTGAAACAACAAAATAATATTGCGTTAATATTTTATAATTAATTATTATATTAATGTTTTTAATAGTTAAAAATAATTACTATGCATAACGATTTGCGCACCTAGAAGATCCGGTAAAATTATTTATACATTTTTCATACTTGTACATAACGGATTTCAATATTTTTTATAAACCGGTATAAATATAAATTGAAATACATTAAAAACGTGTACAGCCGTTAAAGACATGTAATAATGCATTCAATCATTAAACTGATTGCTGTTATTGCTCATTTGAATGATACTAATGTTAAGTATGAATATTATGGCGAAGCTAACAGTAGTATTACGGTACGTTTTTTTTTATTGGAAATTGAGTTTTCCATTTGTACCCGACTGTAAATAATGGGGTAGGTAAGTAAAATTTATTATCAATCCGCGTTGACCGTCAACACGTTTTTCATGTTGTTAACCTGATTATAAAACTCATACGATAAAGCGGGATTTTCAAGTTTTACAAAAAAGGGCTACAATTAGTATATTTTATGTTTGAGTATTAAAACACATGCTAGGTTATTATAAAATCTCCAGCTAACGAGATTATCAGGTTTACATTTTCACAGAGAAACCCCTCCGCTCCAGGACACGGCCAAAATATGTTCCAGTCGTTTTTTTTACCGTATTATATGACCCCATAACCTGTTTTATAAAAAACTGATTTCATAAAAAAAAGATGTCATGTTTATCTGTAATTTGTGGAATTTTTTGAAAACAATTATAGGTAAATTTCCGTAGTATAATATTTATTTCATTTTTCAAAAATGAATATGTATTTCAAACAAAGTTTAAGCATACTTTCTAAGTATATTACATAAATTAAGAAAACATCAAAGACATCATTATTTTTATAATAATTTCCAACCAACCTTAATTAAACGTCGAGGAAAGAGGGCCGGACTTCCGGTTGCATTACTTCACAGCTCGTTCGGTGGAATAATATCAAGTCATAATAAAATCTAATCTATAGTGTCTTTGAGCTGAATCTAACGTGCGTCATGTAAACTAAAGTATACGGGTGTACGTAAAAACATATAAAATGATGTATAAATTCAAATTATTCTAACGCCGCTTCTTGAGCGGATACAATGCTTTTTCCGAGCCATTAAGTATTTATACTCGGACAAATAACACACACAACTCGTATATTGTACATGCGTTCTATCTAGTGCGGACATGTTAATTCGATTTCGATTTTTGTATACAAGCGCCAGTAGAAGTGCAGCGTGCGCCGGAGGCTGTGAAGGCGACTAACAATTCGTGTCTGCGATACTTAACACACCACGTGTGTGAGCGCGCGCCTCGTTGTTGTCAAACACATTAGTGTAATAACAGTAATAAATAATAATAATAATATTGTATTGGCAAATCCATTAGAATTACAACTGGTGCGCGACACAATGATAGTAGTCATAATAATAATAATAGTAATATAATCCCAATGTCTATTCGAATCACGTACTTAATCGAAATGTGTTAATTCCGACTTGACCGGGGCCACGGGCCGTCGATTGTTCTTATCAAAAATCATTTTCGTTCTTTAGTAATAATAATATAATATTACAGAGCGCATTGTATTAACGGTGACAAACAATTGGTGACCATCGGCCGAAAATCATATATCATTATCATTATTATAATTGTCGCAACCGCGTGAAAAATTACATTATATTGTTATCATTATACTCTAACTTGTCAATTAAGATTTGTCCTTATGTTTTGACGGTTTACCGCGTGAGGTGACGCAGCACGGCCACCACATTAGATTTCCACTCGACCCGAGAGGCGA